TCCACAATCAACATGCATGGAAGCAGCAGTCAAGAAATCAAAAGACGCATTTTATTGGGCAAATGGGCTGAGAAAGATCTCTTTCAAGTGTTAAAAAGCAAAGATGTCACTTTGTAAGACTAAGTTGCACCTGACCCAAGCCATGGTGTTTTCAATCGCCTCATATGCACGTGAAAGCTGGACAATGAATAAAGAAGACCGAAGAAGAATTGACACCTTTGAATTATGGTGATGGCAAAAAATACTGAAAATACCACAGACTGCCAGAAGAATGAACAAATCTGTCCTGGAAGAAGTACAACCAGAATGCTCCTTACAAGCAAGGATGGCAAGACTACATCTCACATACTTTGGACATGTCATCAGGAGGGCTCAGTCCTTGGAGAAGGACATCATGCTTGGTAGAGGGTGAATGAAAAAGACAACCCTCAACAAGATGGACTGACACAGTGGCTGCAACAATGGGCTCAAGCATAACAACGATTGTGAGGATGGCGCAGCACCAGGCAGTGTTTCATTCTGTTGTAATGGGGTTGCTAGGATTTGGAACCAACTCAACGGCACTTAACAACAACAACAATGGAAGCAGTAATTCTCTCTCTGAAAACCAATATAGTTTACTCTGTAGACTTATAAAGTATGTTTTTCTCCTTTGCATTATCTAAGGTCAGAAGTAATTTTATAATTGAAAAATTGCTCATTCTTTTTAAGTGTATAAATAAGGTATACAGAATTACATGTATTTTAAATTTCTCCAGCCAATTTTGCTGAAAGTCTACTTAATTGTTTTGCTCTCATAACTAAAATTAATAACATATTTAAAATAATCCAGCAAAAAATAACTTCTACAATTAGATTTTTGGATGATGGTTGTTTTAATAGCGTGACAAAACTACATCCTAATTACGTATTATCATCTACCAAGTCTGATATGGTTTACATCTGCATGACTTTAAAATTACATGCATCAGTTAGTCTGGTAGATAAAATAACCTAATCACTAATTTTTATTCTATAATTGCAATCTCTATTAAAAAGTTTTCAAAATAAATCAGTCTTTAAAACAAAATACACAATTTCTATACATGAAGCCTCATTCTTTTTGTGTGGTTAGGAATATTCATTAAGTTTAAAACGTGAACTTCTTTTCCTCCAAAATCACTGATTAAGTTTTCCTGAATAATAACATTTATTTTTAAATGTAACTGACCTGAACAAACATACACTGATTTCTGTATTTTTCAAATACTATTCAAAGTCCTCCCACATAAAATTTCAACTTGGCTACTCCTGATAACCTATTTATTGCTGTTACCACCGCAGGCCTCGGTGTATTTATTATTTTAATATATAGGTATTTTTAAAACTTATACCTTTCTAACCATGCTGGTAAGAAGGCAGCATGGCCTACTGTGGAGCATGAAATTGGAACTGAATTCTTGGCTTTTCTATGGACATATTATGTGTCTCTAAATAGGTTACAATTTTCATATTCCATTTATTTCAGTGTGCACAGCTCCTCTGAAGTAAACTACCTAGCATGGCACCGTGCAGAGTAGACAATGAAAAATTTATTGACTGATCACTGGAAACTGTTTTGAAGTTGGGGTGAGAAGACCTGACATTTACCTTCACAGGACTTCAGAGTCCTCATCAGTAATAGGAGACTGAACTACAGAAGACACAAGTTGCAGGCTGGCTTCCCTAAGAAGCTGACTCCAAGACAGAAATAGCGAGCAGGAAATTTATTGGGGAGTGCTCTCCGGATGATCACCTGTGGGGGCAGTGAAGAAAGCAGCGCAGAAGCAGAAGTGGAGCTGTGCCACCGTCACAACAAAGGCCTCAGCTGACCCCATGGGGGCACTCTGGAGCTGAGACGGCCCTACAGAGCTGTCCTGAATTGGGACAGGGCCTTTACAACCCTGCATCAACCAGTTACTGGATGCAGGCTGCCCCCAGAAAGGGAGCATTGACCTTGGTAAGGTAGCTTTCTTCCTTCGGCTGAGGTGAGGGCAATCTCCAGAGGAAGACTCAGATGTGAGCACTCAGTCACCAATACTCTTGGCAGCTGGGGCAATGATTACTTCAGTCCTGAAGGCGGTTATCTGGGCAGTGTGCCAGTGTTCACTCTTCACTACTGAATAACAAGGCTTGTTCCAGTTCTATGACATTTCCTTTAGTTTTAAGGTACAGTCAAACCTAAACTATCATCAAAACAGCTGTCCTTGGTAAAATAAAACAAACTGTAAGATTCCATTCATATCAAGTTCAAGAACAAACAGAACTAATTTATACTGACAGAGGTCAGAATAGTGGTTTAGTGGTTACCTTTGAGGGATACTAACCGGGAGGGAGCATGAGAGAACCTTCTGGGGTGCTAATAATATTCTTTAAATTGGTCTGGAATACATGTGTATATATGTAAAAATTCATTGTGCTGTGTGTGTGTATCTATACACATAAACAAACATACCTGTGCGTGGTTTTCTCAAAGATTTATCAAAAAAAGATTCCATAAAATGTTCTTTTAATATTTTCTAAAATAAAGTATTGACACTGTAATGTACAAAACAAATGTAATTTTTTTATCTCAAAATAAAAGTTTAATTAAAAAGTCTGTTGAATAAAGGCACAAATAAAACCAATGAAAATAAGATCAAAGTTATTACAAACATCACAAAAAGAAAAATAAACAACCAGAAGATACCACTGAATATCTACCAGAGGAGCTGAAATTTAAAAAAAGGACAGACAATATCAACTATTAGTAAGAATATGGAAAAAGTAGAATTCTCATACCTTATAGTTGGGAATGTAAATAATTACAGATAATTTTTTAATAACTTTTGCAGTGTTAAACCAAATGTAATTTTTTTAAGTTTATAGTTTTCTGTTATTATAACACTTTAACAATTCTTTTACCCCTTTTATAATTCTTACGTGCAAAATTATTTTAAATATTTATAGTCAAGGCATTTGAAAGCGTCAAAAATGAAACAAACAATAAAATAATAAAGTAGGCTATCAAGTGGGTTTAAGTAATTAAATAAACAAAATAGAGCATGACCATTGGACAAGGACTTGCAAAACTGCCATCTAAAATCAGAAACGCAGTGAAGATTTGGATAAATTGGCTGCTAACCGAAAGGTCAGTGGTTTGAACCCATTAGCTGCTCTGTGAGAGAAAAACGTGGCAGTCTGCTTCTGTAAAGATTACAGCCTTGGAAGTCCTATAGGGCAGTTCTACTCTGTCCTATAGGATAGCTATGAGTTGGCATTGACTCCATGGCAAAGGGTTGTGTATGTACAACATATTTAAAAAGACCAAGTATAGTGCTGCCATCTAGCAGACAAAGCTGATAATGACCAATGTCATCTCTGAAAGGTTATATACATCATAGAAAATAGAGAAATGCCAAATTCTATCTTTTCTAACAATACCCTACCACAACAAAGCTCTAAGGCTATCTGGTAAGTTTGGACAATAGCTAAAAGTTCAAATACTTATGTTCTTAAAAAAATATGATTTTTAAAGTAGCCACCGAGACCTCAAACAACAGTACTAGTAGTAGGAGCTTCGAGGGTTCCCTGGTGCAAATCCCATCCCATTTTTAAAACAAACTCTTTCTAAAACGTCCCAGAGCTATAGTTTCTGAGGAGAAAGATGTGCAATGTCCAGTTGGTCTTCCCCAAAATCTATTTGGAGACTCACTGAAGACTAAATAAAGCAAGTGCTGAGAAAGAAAGAGAAGCTGGATTTTGGATAAAAGTTTTAAACAGAGTGAACTTAAGGAATGACAAGGTCTTTCCTCCTTTAGTGATGTCTGAACATCTGGATTCTAACAGGCAAGGGCCCCTATTCTGTGCTCCAACAGCAAGATTTCTCATCTTAACTATCACCCCTCAACACACACACACACCAACTTCTGGCCTACTTAGGCATCACCTTACAGAGCCCAAAAGTCAAAGAGTAAGAGAATATTCAGAGTAAGCTGAATATTCATGAAAAATAAGAGAAAATCTACACTTGCCAGCACTCCAAGAGCAGCAGGACAGAGAAAGACCACAATGAGAATGGAGAATACAACACTGCTGGAGAGACTGAGCTACTAAGTAGATGTCCAGAGACCAGACAAGGAGATAGCAACAACATCTCATGTCTATGCCACTTTTTCCAGACAAGAGGTACAAAGTCTTACCATTTCACAGCACTCACACAGGAAAGATCTGACAGCCTAATCACGAGTGAGGGGTTACACTGTCACTGGGAAAACTTAGCTAAAGAGATCCTCAAAATCACCAGGTCACCCACTGCCACACAGATACTGTTACACTATAACACACAGCCCAGCACCCACAAAGTAACAATATGGCGCAAAGAAACTAGTATAGAGTCACATAATCAAACATAATGAGATACACAGAAATGAGAAAATCAAGGTTCTAGATGGGCTTTGCCACAGCCTAGTTATGTAATCTTGGCAGAGGCAGTGTAATATAATTGGTACTGAGTGTGGCAGGCACTGAACTCAGGGTTTATAGACAGTAAAAGTATCTAACCAGCAGTTAGAGTAAAATTCTAGTATCCAATCTGCCTCTAGTTTCTAAGGTTTAGGCTAAGTCAATCTCATCTGTACTGACTAGAGTGACACTTCTAGTGTGTGTTTCACAGAACAAAAAACAGTGATATACTTCTCAATAAAAGGGTTTCATAGTCAAGCAGGTGTAGTGAAATGCAGCTACCATAAACCACCAAACTTAGAGACTCACAATGCACTTTATTATAGTAAAGATGGCTCCAAGAAGTACTACAGTAAAGTAGCAATTTAAATTTATTTGATACATTTTTTTCCAAACTACTGGGCCACTAAACCACTTTTTCCTCTAACAAATACTAACATTGCAAAACATAAGCTTGCTAAATACTGGGTTAGTTTCCTCTTAATTCTAATATTCTGTAATTATAAAACCACTAAAACTGTTAATATAAATTACCTTACCTCAGCTACACAACAAATTGACCCCAAGGCTTCTCCACGAAAACCGTAAGTTGTCAAATTTTCAAGATCTTCATGACTATTTATTTTTGAGGTATAGTACTTCACTGCCATTACAGGTGCATCAACAGCCTTGATACCTTCACCATTGTCTCGCACCTCAATTTTATCAAATCCATAGTTCTCCTACAAAAAGTTAAAAAATACTTTAAGTGTATAAAAACATTATTTATTATCACATTTAGGAACAGAAGGAAACACAAGTGAAACAATTATGTGATTTATTTACATTTTATGGAAGGTTAATATTATAGAAGAGGTAAAGTTCTTTAGCTCTATTGATTCCCAATTATAGTACAATGGGTAAACCTCTTGTTTTCTCTGGACTCAGGTTCTATAAAATAAGGGAGTCAGTATGATCTTTAAGATTTCTCTGGAGAGTTTCAGTATCTTGGCTATTTAATACATATGTTTAAACTAGACTAAAAAAAATTATCTGTGAATGACATACACCTTCTGCATATATAACCCCCCAAACAAAACAAAACAGATCACCAAAAATAAAAACACCTTGCTCTCCCCACAAAAAGTCCAGCAAGTATTATTATTCAACCTTATTTTAAACACTTTCTTCCTTGAACTACTGATTGCTTTCATAAGAAACATATATATTTACTACATTATAACTTTCTAAATTTCCTTCTGCAAACAGTTACCGAACAGGAAGCTGCTAAGAAAATATAACCAGTTTGGCAATCTCAGTGAATTTTAAATTTGAAAATCAAGAAAATAAAAAAGGATCTCAATTAATAGCTTAGTTTTTGTATTTTAATACTAAAAACATGCACACACAACAAAATCAAAATCTAAATTCCTACAGTGACCATGCTTTCTATGAATAACCAGTTGTCTTATAAATCTGGTAGCCAGTGTTTATCATAACCTCCACTCCACAAAGTTTTATGTGTATGGCCACGGATGCAAGTTATAACAGAAAAAAAATTCCTACAATTATAACTCTGATATTTGAAATAATATATCTTTTAAAAAAATCTAAAATTACATAATACTGCATGTGTCAGTGATTTTTAGATACATTAGGTATACAAGGAGGGAGAGGTGAGCGACATCTCATCTCTCTCTCAATCTAAAATTAAGCTGACATTCTGGGAATAAGTTATCTGCTTCATTTTAAAAGAAAATCATTAACTATAGAAACCCAAATCTAACATAAGTAAGAACTTCAGGCATCTGAATAAAATAAGGACATAAAGGTCTACTTAAATGTTTAAAATACTATCAAAGTATTTAATTAACTAATTATGAAAACATTCATATACGGGACAGCTATTATTGCACGAAACCATAACAAAACAGGTTTTATTATATAGAGTAATACAGTTAAAGCGTTTATTTTCAAATTTTATGAAGCAGATACTGATACATGTCAGGAGACTAAAATATACATCCATATAAAACTGTTTACTTTACTTTTATAGGAGAACTTTTGTCTTTGTAACACTATTTTAAAAACTGTATTTTTCTTCCAGAGACCTTTAAGAACAAGATATATATTTGTCTGCCTACGATTCTTAAGTGAAACCTATAAGAAAGTCAAGTTTTAAAGGATAAGGAGTTAACTGCTTAACCCTATTTAATCAGTATCAACTGTATTCTGATCCAATTGAACCAACTATATGAAATGTCTAAGAAAAATAATCATTCTTTAGGTTTAATTTAATAAACTTATTTTCATGTTTATGAAGCATATTATTAAAAAACACAATACAGGTTTGATATGGTATAGAACAGAAGTTCTCAAAAATGTGTTCCCTGTACTAGCATCAGTCTCAATTAGGAACTTGATAGAAATGCAAATTATCAGGCCCCATGCAGAATCTGAAATTCTAGGGGTGAGATATGGGTAATGTTTTAACAAGTCCCGTAAATGATTCTGATGCACCAAAATGTTTGAGAAGCATCAGTATCAGGAAAGATCTTAAATGGGTTTTGTAGTCAGAAACATCTGGGTTCTAATCTCAGCTCCACCACTTTCTAATTACGTATCTTTGGGCAAGTTCTCAGAACCTTAATTATCTGTAAAATGGATATATCAAACCAAAAAACCCACTGCCATCGAGTCCAACTCACAGCGATCCTGTGGGACAGAGTAGAACTGCCCCAAAGGGTTTCCAAGGCTGCGCACTGCCACATCTTTCTCCCACGGAGTAGCTGGTGGGTTCAAACTGCCAGCCTTCTGGTTAGCAGCCAAGCGCTTTAAGCACTGTGCCACCAGGGCTCCTTAAAATGGATTTAGGAGAAGTTAATTCACAGAGTTCTTGAAGGAGTAACTGAAATTATATATAAAATACATAGCACAGAATCTGGTAAATGACAGACATTAAGAAAACATTAGGTCCTTTTCCTACAAAGATATCTGTATCAGTATTATTTCTAATGCCATAATAACAAAAATAACATAAATGTCTAAAAACTGGGAGACATTTTTAAAATTATGTATTCTTACATTCACTCAAACAAAAAAAATTTTTTATTCACCTCCCTAGTATGCCTAGTATTCCTAGTACTGGCCAAGTATGGAGAACCTTGTGTCTATAAGTTAACAATTCAAAATAAGGGAGACAGACACGCAAACTAATTGCAATAAATCATACTGAGTGTTATAAACCAGGTGCTGCCTAGTCAGTTACAAACCATGGCAACCCCACGTGTGTCAGAGTACGACTGTGCTCCATAGGGTTTTCACTGGCTGATTTTTCATAAGTAGATTGCCAGGCCATCAGTGTTACAAGTCATTATTAACTCAAATAATCTAAGACACAGCACTTACATTTAAAAACGTGAAAACTAGGAAGCAACAAGGAAAATGATTTTGAAATAAGGTGGAAAAAATGAAATTCAATGGGAAGTATATACTAAACAAGTAAATATAAATAACCAAGGTTAAATATTAGTAAAAAGACAAATTAAAGTGATGTTTTAGATGGAGTCCTAAAAAATGTTTTCTTTCATAATCCCCTTTAGTGTTAACATAATGCTGATTTACATTAACATTTATTTTTTAAGAATTTACTCTTAAACAAAACAAGGGTTAAATGTCCTAAGAATAAGCTACTGGTACAAAAAAATGGAAAAAATGTAATAGTTATAGGAAGAAAACATCTGCTCAGCCCTTTTTTCACTTTAAAGTCATTTGGCTTCTCAAGGAAACTCACCAGTTTAACATCTATGCTGGTAGCACCAGCATCCAAGGAGTTTTCAATGAGCTCTTTTACAACACTAACCACTGAAGTGATTATCTGAGAACTTGAAAGGAGGCGAACTGTAGCTGCAGGCAACTGTTTCATTCTAGCTTTTAGCAGAGTGGCTAGAAAATAAAAATGTAAGTTACAAAAATAAGATATGTTGAACAAACATTCCTAACAGAATAGACAAGGATAATAATGATAATAATAATAATAGCAGCTCGCATTAATTGAGTGCTTACTGTGTGCCAGGCTCTTCTGAAAGCATACACAGTTTTAAGCAATTTATTTCTTAGAAATAACTTTGAAATAGGTAACTTTATTATCTCCATTTTACATATGAGAAAAGTAAAGCAGAGAGAAGTTCAGAAACTTGTCCAAGGTCATCCAATCACTTAGAGACAGAGCCAATTCTTAATTACAGGCTACCATGCAATACTTCCTCTGTTGATACATAATTTAATCACCTCTTATTCAAAATAATAGTCATAAACAGGTCCAAAAGATCCAAAATAGCATAGGAGTGATGAAATTACCTTTTTTTCTAATTTCTCTCAGGGCTTTTGTGTGACTTTAATTGCTGACTTTTCTCCTAAACTCCAATCACTACCTAAAACTCAACACATAACAGCCAGCCTCCCCCACCCATGATGTTCCTATAAAAATTAAGTTCATTAATGCAGACCCAAATCTAATCAATTTCTATGTCCCATCAATTATTTTTTCAGTATCTCTCACATCTAGTTTTTCCTTTTCATCCTCTCATCATTACAATAGTTTAAGCTCTCAGCATTACATAATTTCCTAATTAACCTCCGGCTTCTTAACCTTTGGTCATCAACTCTATACTACCCATTAATAATATCCATAATGATTACAAGAACAACTACTATAATTTACCGAACAGCTGGTATGCTAGGCACTGTGCTAAACACTTCACATATGGGATTGCATTTAATCCTTCAAACAACCGTTAAAAGTAGGTACTATGAATAAATATTACCATTTAAAAGGTAAAAAATAAACTGGGAGATTAAATTACCTAGCCTAGGTACTTCTCAAGTTTAGAAATTTTTTCTTCAAATATACTTTCCTAAATGTCTGTCCCAAGTATGCCCCGTAGATAATTCACTAAGGCACGTAAACAATGGAATCATCCAAACAAGAGTGTATTAAAGTTTTTTTTTTTTTTAACATTCTGTTTGTAAATCACACTATGGTAGTAACTGAAGAACAATAAGAACAGTTGTGCTATGAGTATAATGTACAAACTGCCTCACTGGGAATGACCAGTTGGTGCTGTCACCTTCAGATGAGGACAATGATAGTCATGTGTCTTAACAGCAGACTCTCTTAACCATCATTAGTCATCTACACATTCCGGTGAGTAACAATCTATTCTTCAATTATTGAGCTCTTTTGGACTATCTAGACTCTAGAAACATTGTTAATCTAAACTGGTCAGGTAATTATCCTCCACACTATTCTCCATAAAACATCATTCTATAGGAGTAGGATATGGAATGTGTAGCTAATTGCTTCCATAAAAAACTGCTCCTTTGTCATGGGGCCAGAAGAACTGGATGGGGCCTAGCTACCATTACTCAACATTTTGATCTAAGATTCTTTAAAAGAATCCTGATCCAAAGGGTGAAAATGCAGAACAGAATTTCAAATTCTCATGGACTCCAGACTTTCTGGAGCCATGGAGTCTGGATGAATCCCTGAAACTACAGCACTGAGATAATCTTTATACCTCAAACCAAAAATAACCCCTCAAGTTTTCTTAAAACAATAGTTTAGCTTAACTAGTAAAGAATATCTGCCTTGAGCATTGTGCTCTTTCAAGATCCATCTATATGGGATCAAACTGCAACAACAGCAACTCAAAAGATTAGATAGGAACCTTAGGGGGTAGTGAGTTTATGTTAATGGGGGAAGAACAACTCAGAAAAAGAGGGTGAGAATGGTTGTACAACTTGAAGAATGTAATCAAAGTCACTGAATTATACATGTAGAAACTGATGAATTGGTGAATGTTTTGCTATATATATTCTCAACAACAAAATAAAATTTTTTTAAAAAATCATTCTAATCATGTGTCAGTAAGATAAAGCTCAAATCTCAGCACTGATATTCAAGGTCCTTTACATGCTGTTATGGATTGAATTGTATCCCCCAAAAATGTGTGCCAACTTGGCTATGCCAAGATTCCCAGTATTGTGTGACTGTCCTCCATTTTATGATCTGATGGAATTATCCTATGTGTTGTAAATTCTAACCTCTATGCTGTTAATGAGGCAGGATTTGAAGCAGTTATGCTAACGAGTCAGGACACAATCTACAGGATTAGGTTATATCTTGAGTCAATCTCTTTTGAGATATAAAAGAAAAGAATCGAGCACAGAGGAGAAGGACCTTATTACCACCAAACAAGAATCTGAGGCAGAGCACATCCTTTGGACCCAGGGTCCCTGTGCTGAGAAGCTCCTAGACCAGGGGAAAGAGTGATGACATGGACCTTCCCCGAGAGCTGACAGAGAGAGAAAGCCTTGCCCTGGAGCTGGCGCCCTGAATTTGGACTTCTAGCCTCCTAAACTGTGAGACAATAAATTTCTGTTTGTTAAAGCCATCCACTTGTGGTATTTCTGTTATAGCAGCACTAGATAACCAAGACAGAGGCTGATTCAACTTGTTCATCCAAAATCTCTATGCCAGTTGTTTTAGCTATGAAACCCTTGGTCTAAACAAACAAAAATCCCATACGGAAATCAGATGCAGGAATGGGAGGTTTGCATTTGCCTTAATGCCTTATTTCAGAAACTATTCCAAGAAAAGAAAAAACACTAGCTTAACAATATGCAATTCTTCTAGAGTCAAGATTTTCTTGTACAAAAAACAAAAACAAAACACAAAAAACCTAGGTACTTCCTTAATTTACCATAAGTAGTTATCTGCTTACATGATGATTTGATCCTATAGAACCTAGGTCCAAAGAAAACAGCAGTACCACAAACAAAACAAAACAATGTTATCAATTTTGGATTCTGTCTCAGGCAACATAAGACATAAGACAAGCAGAGTCATGTAAAGTAAGACTCAATAACTTGAGCAAGAATGGAACATACATAACAATTACATAGGATTTGAAGGTATGCATTTCTGGGAAGAGGTCAATATACTGAGTTCTGAGTAGTGTTAACTGGACACAATTCATAAATATATTTTGCTTTACACAAGGTAAAGCTGACTTGCACAGTGGAAAAAACATACCAGAGTCTAAAGGTTCATCTTTATGGCATATAAACTGAAGAAAATCACTTATATTCCTCTGTAAAACCACTTCATCATCTGTAAAAATGGTGGTAACACCTCATTGGTTTGTTGGGAGAATCAAATAAGAAAGCATATGTGAAATCATCTATAAACGATAAGGCCCTATAAAATGTTCAGTATTATAATGAGAGATTATTATATAAAGGAACATTCTTTTCTAATACTAACAATTACTCTCTAATTACCTAATCTACATATTTGATTTAATTTGGGGGGTATCCAGTTTTAAGTAGAGCAGCTGCAAACAACTACCTCTCAATGGCTATTTGTGGCTCTCAAGGACTGAGAGGAATTCCCAATCAGTCAGGGCAACAGCAGACAGGCCACACCATTGTTGTAAAATTCATACAAATTAGTGCTGTCCCAAACATGGAGGATCCTTAACATTCTCCTCAAGCTTCAGACTGGCCTCAGATGTAAGGATATAGAGCTGTGCTGTCCAATGCGGTAAATACTACCCACATGTAGCTACTGAGCACTGGGAATGTGGTTAGTCCAAATTGAGATGTGTTAATATACACTAGATTTCAAAGACTTAATATGAAAAAAATGTAAAATCTCATTAATTTTTTATATTGATTGCATGCTAAAATATTTTGGATATATTCAATTACGTAAAATATATTATTAAAATTGGAGGCACGGTGGTGCAATGGTTAAGCGTTTGGCTGCTAACCAAAAGGTCAGCAGTTCTAATCCACCAGCCACTCATTGGAAAGCCTACGGGGCAGTTCTAGTCTGTCCTATAGGGTCACTGAGTCAGAATCGACTCGTTGACGACAGATACAATGGGTATTATTAAAATTAATTTCATTTCTTAATCTTTTTTAATGTGACTATTACAAAATGCAAAATAATGTATGTGGCTCACATTATAGTTCTACTGGACATCACTGGATACAGTAGTAGTTCAAAGGGAAGGCTCTGAAATCACACTGCTTTGGTTCTATACAAGCTCCTACATGTAGTAGCTATATAATTCTGGGGAAATTAACTTTTCTAAGCCTTAGTTACCTAATCTATAAAATGTGGATAATAATAAGATCATGTGGTTGTGGTGGGAAATAAATAAGATAATGCAAATAAAGAACTAAAGTGACTAGCACATAAACGCTAAAAGATCCTTGGGTACCTGGACTAAATTGAATTACTGAATTCCCGTATGAGTCAGAATCAAGCTGATGGCAACGGGTTTGGGTTTTTTTTTTTTAAACTCTAAAACGAACAACTCCCCCATCCAACCCCTAACTCCACAGGGGCTAACCTATGGCTAGGCATCAGAGTAGGCTTGGGTCCAAGCAGTCTTCTACTTTAGTCTGAAAACCACAAGTATCTAAGCAAAAACACTCATCAGTCAAGCTTTGGGGTTTAAACCTAGCCTCACCTTAACCTTCACTGCTTCTGCACAATCTTCTTATCAATCTTTTCATCTTTATCTCATTCTCTACAATCCCTTTTCCAAATCTCCTTCTTTTTCCCCCACACATCCCTAACTCCACCCTCATCTTTCTCATTCTTCTAGTTTATCGAGATCGAGGCACTTGGTAGCATGAACTCTATCTACACACAACCTCCCCCACCCCACTATGCCCTCCAGTTTCCTAAAATGTCTGCATCTCTACCCATAGTCTTCTCCCTTTCTCCAGTCTCAGGTCAATATCTCTTTTCTCTTAAGCTAACACTCTTACCTAGTTTCTTGATACAGTTCCCCAACAGGAATCTGGTCTTGAAAGCATGCACAAAAAATATACCTTTCCCTCAACCCTACCACCCTAGTGATTATCCTCTTTCTCCTTCTTTATGAGGCCAAACTTAAATAAGTTATCTATATTCATTGTTATCAATTCCCTATCAACAACTCACTTCTAAAACCCTTGCAAAATGGCTTATACCACAACCAATGTCAGGATTCTGTTCTTGTAAAGTTTACCTATGATCTCTTAAATCACAAATCCTTTTTCAGTACCCATGCTCCCTGACCTCCCTGAAACATGACATTGATGACACTCTCTAATTCTCAAGTATCTTTCCATCTGTACTTCTTTGACCTCTTTGTGCTTTATTCACTTGCTTCCCAGAAACGTACCCAGCCTCTCTCCCCTCTTCTTAGATACCTTATCCACTCTCAAGCCTTCAGTTACAGAATAACACTTAAATCTATATACCCAAGCTTGATCACTCTCTTCCTAAGACAGGCATTTCTAACAATCAGTGTTACTGATACCTCAAAATAAATATATATAAAACAGAACTTATCTTCCTGCTCCCCTCCATGCCTTCCACTTGATTTTGCTACTTCTCTTAATAATACACAGTTCTCAAGCACCAAGGTCAAAATCCTCAATATTCCTTTGCCAGCAATCCCTCCCTATTTGCACTCCTACTTCATCTTAATGCAATCCTACTTATCATTCTAGACCCAATTCCAATACTATTTGTATTATGATTCTTTCTGATCACTGAATCCAGGAATGATCCTTCCTCCTCCTCCATTCCTAAAGCACTTGGCTTGCTATCACATCACCATCCTGAATTGTACAATTTTTGAAGACAGGAGACTATGTATTATGTATCTCTGGATGCCACACAGAGCAATCATAGTACTTCATTCCTGGCAAGCACTTAATGAATATTTAATTAATGAATAACCACCAAAAAATAATGTTACCAGCACCTTCCTTGTGCCTATGTAAACATCAGGAAAAGTGTCCCCTTCCCAGCAAGTCACCATTGCCCTAAAACTCCTCTCCTTTATTTTACTCTATTTTAAGGCCATGCTATTGACCACTTTCCATCCAGTCACACAAGACAAAATTAGAAATCTTTAAGTCATCCTAAAAACTCTTTCTCCTTACTCTATATATCCTGCCACCTCACACTATCTATCCTACTATCCACTCATTTCTCAAACTAGTCCTCTTCTCTCTACGTCTACAGCTAATGCTTGTTCAGCCTTCGTTTCTCCCTTAAACTACTGAAATAACTAACTGACATTTGCCTCTAATCTTAACCACCTTTAAGGGTGCTACAGTGTTCTTTACAAAATTTAAATTTTACCACGTTACTATCTTACTTAAAATTTTATAAAGACTTCCATCTGCTAACCAAAGTCCAAAATCCCTAACAACTTCTAATCTCATCTCACTATTCCCCATATGCACACTACGCCAATCATGCTATACAGTCGTCTTAGTGTGGTGGAACTCACACCTTCTTAGTTCACACAGTTCTACCTCTCTAAAGTGACTTCTCAGCATCCCTTCAGATTTAGTTCAAATATAATCTCTTCCACCAAGCCTCTTTTCCCTGCTCTAATAGCACTTTTTCCTTATTTCTAATCCAGAACTCATTAAAGGGTATTGTAATTATTTGTCTGTCCCCTCCTCCTGACTCTAAGTTCTTTGAGGACAGGGATTTGGTATTAATCACATCTCTCTAGCACAGCCCCAGCACATGTTAAAAATTCAACTGTTATGTGTACCAAATGACCTCTTTTGGAGGGAGGAAGGATTGATGTCAGGCTTACGAGTCACAGCATGGAATGTCTGAGAATGTCAGGATAGTCAGTCTTCCATATTTGCTGAGAGGGAAATGCAACACTCCAGAAACAGTGCTGATGACCAGTACGGGAGTCAGTTAAGGATGGCAGGTGTACCTACAAAAGAAGCAGGTATCACAGAACTCACAAACTTTAGGGAAAACAAACAAACTAAAAATTCAAAGAAAATAATAAATGTCACCCAATTAGAACCAATAGAAGGCATGACAGATGTATATAGATAGCTAACATTTTTTAAAGTTGATTTCTAAATGTTGCTGAATACAAATTACAATACAAACTACAAACACAAATTACAGACTTTTCTGTATACTGCCAAGGTAAAAGAAATTCGATTTCAAAGATGACTCCAAATAATCTAATCAAGATTTTTCCTCTTTATACCCAGGTAAAAAGGGCCAATTATTAGTATCCACATGGCACAACGGTTCAGCACTAGACTGCTAACAAGATCAGTGGTTCAAATTCACCAGCTGCTCTGTAGGAGAAAAGACCAGGCAATCTGCTCCTATAAAGATTACCCCATTGCTGTTGAGTTGATACCCAATTCATAGCAACCCTACAGGACAGAGTAGGACTGCCCAATGGTTTCCAAGGCTGTAATCTTTACGGAAGCAGACTGCCACATCCTTCTCCCGCAGAGCAGCTGACGGGTTAGCAAACCCTATGGGGCAGTCCTACTCTGTCCTATAGGGTCGTTGTGAGTCAGCATTCTTTCCATGGCACACAGCAACATTTTCTTAGGATTAATACACGTACCTGTTTTCAGCCTATGAATAAACCCAGAATAACAACACCAAAAGTCATGGTTAACTGAAAGCAGTTTACTTGTACCAAGGGACAAATGACCCAATAAGCAAGGTAAGCACATGCTTAGAACATCAACAAAGCAGCGGCACCAATTGTCCAAGCAAAGACCCATAGATGCCAAGTAGACAAGACACAAGGAAACGTGAGTGCTGCAGCAGAAGGGAACTGGCAAGGCACTAAATGGATACCAGCTCCAGTGTGTGAGAATGTGCTGGCCAGAAATAAAGTTCACGAAGGGTCATAAGGGCGCCCATGTGCAAGGTTGTTTAATCTGAGGCCCCTACCACTTCAACACCTTCGCTGACATCTGTCTCCTACAGTCCCCTCCCCTGTAATTCAAACTTCTTATCTCAGCAGGTCTCTTGGGAGTATATAGTTTCTTTCTAATAAACAAGAGGTGGGGATGGGCTGTCAAGTCTAACTCTTGCTACATACATTTACCCAAAATGCAACTGTATCCAACAAGTGGTTACTGTCTTAGCTACCTAGTGCTGCTGTAACAGAAATACCGTGAGTGGATGGTTTTAACAAAGAGAAATTTATTTCCTTGCAGTAAACTAGGCTAAAAGTCCAAATTCAGGGTGTCAGCTCCAGGGGAAGGCTCTCTCTCTCTCTTGGCCTTCTCATCAGTGTTCCCCTGGACTAGGAGCTTCTCGGCGCAGCGACCCCGGCCCAAAGGTTGCACTCTGCTACCAGCACTGCTTTCTTGATGGTATGAGGTCCCCCTGTCTCTCTGCTCACTTCTGTCTTTTATATCTCAAGAGATTGCCTCAGGACACAATTCAATTTTGTAGGTTGAGTCCTGCCTCACTAACACAACTGCTGCCCATCCTCCCTCATTAACATCATAGAGGCAGGATTTATAACATAGGAAAATCACACAATACGGGGAATCATGGCCCAGCCAAACTGATACACACATTTTTTGGGGGACATAACTCAATCCATGACACTGGGCAAGGATGGATTACATTAACAGATAACGGGTCTCTAATCCATTTTGAGAGAACAGTCTTGTACATCCACGTCTGCTGATCCAGCAACTCCAGCCAGGAGGGACAGCAATGTCCTTTGCCATGATACTAACACAAGGGTGTGCTCTTGCTCATGTCCCAGTAAACAACTAATGGGAACTCCAGTTCCAGATGACGCACAAAAGCAAGAGAACTAGAATAAGTGGACCACTGCAATGAATTTAATCAAGATACTTTTTAACCATACAGCACTTATGTACACAGTTATGGTCTATGTTTTGTAAACAATAATATTTATAATTTCAACTTTAAAATGTTTGGCATACACATGGACACAATCTAGCATACATATAATATTAACACTGGTAATACTTTAATATAATACTAACATAATAAATATCCAAAACATACTGGAAATATTAACACATATCTAACACGAAAAATTTTAATTTATGTACCAAGTGAGTTTTATTTTTTTATTGTCTGTTGCGCAGGGCACAGTGCTTGATATTACTCTAACTGCTAATAAATGAGGTATTAGGCTCATTAAGAGGACACAAAATTCAATATTTATTATGCAAAATGTTTCTGTTTGGCAACGTGAGTGTATTTCTAAATTTGTCTTCCAAGAAAGCAACAAAGGGCATTTATCAGAACATTACATTTATTTTGTTAGAATATTTATGTATTGCTGTGTAAGGTAACTGAACAATTCCTCAAGGAAATAAATGAATATTTAGATAACAGAAATTATATAAATGTATTTTATTTTCTATTTCCCTTCAGAATGACTTTAAGAAATTCATGTTGTTATGACTAGCAAAACAAACTTGCTCATTTCAAAGTGATGCTATTGTCACATCAATTATGTATATGTATCCGAACATGGGAGTTGAACAATTGCACGAAGGAATAAAATGTATTATTTTATAAACTTTATATAAGATAACAAATTTTCCTTTTCATTTCGGACCGATTGGGTAGAACCTCACATTCAGTTCTCCTGGTCAATCTCATTAGAAGGCATCAGCAGCACTATAATCACGTCATTCGTGATGTATCTGGTCCTGTCCTGCTCAAAACGAACCAAAACATGTCTTGAGCATACCTTCGTATTTTTATCATGCTCTTTGCAATTGCTCTTGCCCCCAAAGGGTATTAGCAGTAGTCCAATGAACTGTAAAGACGCAGCATCAAAGGATAAAAAATGAGTGCTCAGTTTTTAAGAATTATTTCAAGATGAAAAACACTCTTGGAGATCTGAGGAGGGTCCACCAACTAACATAGTACAACAAACAAATGAAATTACTTTCAAATGTCTTGTAAGTACTATTTCTTTTGGTCTTTCTCAGACCTGAAGAACAAAATTACATGTTCCAAATCAATTTTTTTTGATTACTAATTTTCAAATATAAATTTTTGTGTTAACATCCAAATTTGCATGTAAATTTATTTTATAAATTTTACTGGTTTTACAAATTCTATTTAATTATTCAAATTTATTTGGTACGCCCTGACAGGGCTGAAGAAAAATGCAGAACAAAACTCTAACTCACAAAAAAAGACCAGACTTACTGGCTTGACAGAGACTGGAGAAACTCTGAGAGTATGGTCCCCGGACACCCTTGTAGCTCAGTAATGAAATCGCTACCAAGGTTCACCCTCCAGCCAAAGATTAGACAGGCCCATTAAAAAAAAAAAAAGGACTAAATGGGCACACTACCCCAGGGACAAGGACTAGAAAGCATGAGGGGACAGGAAAGCTGATAATACAGAACTCAGGGTTGAGAAGGGAGAGTGTTGACACGTCATGGGGTTGTTAACCAACGTCATAAAACAATATGTGTACTAAATGTTTAATGAGAAGCTAGTTTGTTCTGTAAACCTTCATCTAAAGTACAATGAAAAAAATTTTATTTGGTACAGTAGAACCAAATTTAAGAATTGACATAATTTTATATCCAGGTAAAATGAAACGGCAATGACTAAATGGAGTGCAAAAACAAAAGCACACAGAACATAAAAAGAAAAGGCTCTGTGAATCCCTAAAGACAATTCCGAAATAAACTTCCTTTTTAAAATGGAGTGAATCAGAAGAGACTTCTTCCGCCGAATGCTCGAGTTTAATGGGGGCAAATCATTGTACTAGTACCGCCAGTGCTGAGATTATACTAATAGCAATATGAATATAACAGAATTTGCTCCAAATTCTGCATCCATTCCTTGCTATAGTAAAAAAATAAAGTATAGAAAGTGAAATTTTAGAGGCTGAAATTGTCGCATCTGCAGACTCCATAAATAACAGAAATACACATCCTGCTTCGTGGAATAATTTTTCTTCTAATGATCTAAATTATTAGATCAAAAGAGGGTCAAGTGACTGTCAACATCAGAGTCGACCATTTGAAAATTCATGTCGAAAATTTCTGGATAGTAAACAAACAAGGTTCTGTAGCCAGAATATATCTCTAGAGTATAAAGCTAATGGTGAAATTATAACAAGAAGTGGTTACTCTATTCTCCATCTGTTGGCTCTGTATATTGTTTTGTATATTGCAAACTATTGAGTCCTAAATCATTTAATTCTCCATTTGCTACAGATGGATTGAGCGATTGGCGCAACTTGAATATGACTGATAAACATGAAAACGGTTCAATTCACAGAGACTGTATGTTGTCATATTTAAACTAAAGACAGGGTTTTGGCTTAACTCATTAACACTCACAAATTAATGACAAATGTCAATATTGGAAAGCTGTTTTGCCATGCATCGTTGCTGTCATTATAACAATGGCTGAATGTGGACTATCATTTCAAGGGAGAAATTAAGTCTTCGAGTCCCCACAAAATGGAAATCTTTTTGGGTTTACTTGAACTTGTTGCTCAGTTTGATCCATTTTTAGCAGGTCATATCTCAAAATATTACAACACAGGAAAGAACAACCCATCATATATGTCTAAAACAATGTGTGAAGAATTAATAAACTTAAGTGATAAAGTTCAAACAACTATTTTCAATGAAGTAAACATAGCTCGATATTTCAGTTTGTAGATTCCAATCGCTCTCTCATACAGATCAGCTAAATATTGTTTTAAGATACGTATCTCCAACAAATTGAAAACCTGTCAAAGGGTTTATCACATTCACTAGCTTAAAAAGTCATACCGGTTAAGAAATTGTAGATCAAATACTACACTATGTGAAGTTTGCAAAACTGATTTTTCTAAGTGCAGAGGCCAGTCCTATAACAATGCTGCCAATATGTCAGGGCATTATAAAGGCACGCAACAGAAATTTTTAGAACATAACAAATAAGCCATTTTCACACTACGTGCTGTGTATCCACTTAATCTTGTAAAACACAGTGCAGAGATTGTTGTCTAGAAGCACTTTTTGCTGCCTCTACTCATCGATACCCAAACCCATTGCTGTCGAGTTGATTGTGACTCACAGTGACCCTACAGGACAGAGTGGAACTGCCCCATAGGGTTTCTAAGGAGCGTCTGGTGGATTCGAACTGCTGACCTTTCGGTTAGCCGCCTGAAATCTTAACTACAGTGCCACCAGGGCTCCCTACTCACCAATGGACAGTTCTTAAAACATATTTAGGCAATGATCAAGTATTGTCTTTGTAATACACATTGGAAAGTGCATGCTGTAGCAACGAGTACAATCAGTACACTCAGATTCTAGACGCCTTAGAAAATATTACTGAACACCAGACACAAAAAGGAAATACCAAAATAGAAGCTGAAAATATCACCAGTAAAATGCAAACACTAGAGTATATATTTATGTTGGTTATGTGGAATAATCATCACTCGTCAGTTTGTTGTACTGTGGTGGCTTGCGTGTTGCTGTGATGCTGGAGGCTATGCCACTGGTATTTCAAATACCAGCAGGGTCACCCATGGTACACAGGTTTCAGCAGAGCTTCCAGACTAAGACAGGCTAGGAAGAAGGACCAGGGAATCTACTTGTAAAAAAATTGAAAACCTTATGAATAATCAGTTTTTCCTTGACAGGTTTTCCATCTGTTGGAGATACATTATTTTAAAACAATACTTCACCTGATCTTAGCCAAAAGGCTGAGAAGTGATTATCTTAAAACAATACTTAGTTGATCTGTATGAGAAAGATAAAGAGTGCCGTCTACAGACAAACTGAAATATTGAACTATACTTACTTCACTGAAAATAGGTGATCAAACTTTTTATCACTTATTAAGTTTATTAATTCTTCACACACTGTTTTAGACATACATGATAGATTACCCTTTTCTGTATTGCCAGGAATAATGTATTGAAGCATTTTCACTGGACGAGTCAAGCTCGCCAACATTCAGAAGTAAATTTGAAGACATGCACAAGTCTCTATCAGTCATTAACAGGGTATTTACATAATTTAAGAGAAGATTTTGAAAAATTTGACAAAACTACAAAACAAATACCGATCATCAAGCAGTTCACTGTCACAGAGCATTAGAAAGAAACAAATGACAGACGTGCTCCAGAAGTATCCTTCAGTGCCAGAGATCAATTTTGCGTAACCACATACTACATCGCTGACACACTTCAATCATGCATAAAAAGAAGGAAGCAAGTGTATGAAGTTCTTTCAAACAGACTTTCCTTCTTAAACAACGTGGCTATACCTGATAAAGAATGCACAACACCATCCAAGAAATTCGTGCAGGCTTACCCTGATGACTTCAATGATTTCATCACAATTAGGTTGCCAAACAATATCTACTTTAAGTACAAACGTTTATGGAGAAGTGCGACAATTTCATTCTTACATAAGAACTAAGTTTACACATTCAGAAAAGACAAATTTTACTCATGTAGGCATATGATTCTATAATAGAAGATACAATACAATGCATATATCTCAATGTTGAAGTTTCCTTACACATATTCCTAATTTTAATGATCACAAACTGCACAACGCTCATTTTTGTACCCTAAAGAGACTCAAAAACCCTCAGTGCACAACAGTGATTCAAGAAAAACTCGATTATTATGAATGGAAGTAGATATTGTTCAGCAACTTAACAGTGAGGAAATCACTGAAGAACTTCTAAGAGCAAAGAATAGAAAGAAATGTTTTTAATTATAACATGTTAGAGATGAAAGATCTATCTAAAAATAAAATACAGTAATTTGTTGTTAATATTTGTTTTTTTGATCATTAAATTTTCTTTTATAACATCATTTCATTTGTTCATTTATAGCATTTATTACAAAACAAACATCAAAACTGCAGTATGAGCTGTTTAAAGCAAAATTGTTGAGTCAATTTTTTGTTGTGGAAGAGCAACAGAATTTTACATTGATTATTGAAATAACTAAGTTCACTGACTCTCTTTGTTGTAGAATACGTGGAACATTCTTTTTATAGAAAACGTGGTATATAGTAAAAATCTTAGTACTCTGCATCCGCTAAAAATTTTATAATCCAGTTCATCTCATTCTACTAAAGTGGCATACTCCACTATTGCGTATAGTTGCTTCAGAGCAACGGATTGCTTTTGTGTGACTGGGCGGGACTGTGTGACAGGGTAACTGTGGCCCAACAACGGAATTGGTCAGTTTTGCCATTCTGCTAGGCTTGAAATGAGCCACCCCAGAGGCAGTAGAGAGAGGATCTCACCACTACCAAGGAAGAACAGCCAGGAGCCAGCATGTCCTTTGGACCCAGGATCCCTGCGCTGCAAAGCTCCTGGAACCAGGAGACAGAAAGCTGTTAACACTGAAGGCAGCGAAAAGCAGCGGCAGACACCCAGCAGCTGGAGACAGCATGGTGGGCTTCTTGGCCCATGGAGCTAGAAAGATGAGTGCCTTTGGGCAGAAGCCGAGGGAGAGGCGTGCCTATGAGCACAGCTGGGAAGAAGCTGTCCTGGTGGAAGAACTGTATCCTGAGCCTGAACTGTACTTTGTTACTTCCCTAATAAACCCCATAATCAGGAGTATTGTCTCTGAGTTCTGTGTGGCCACTGCAACAAATTATTGAACCCAGCAGAGAAGTAGAGTGCTGTGGGAGGGGGCGATTAGTGTCAGAAATGGTAAAGACTGCTGAGAGAGGAGACAAGTCTGACCTCTGCCTTATAGGAATCAGCCTTGGGCTGTTGATCTTGATTTTCCTTCCCCCTTGTGAAGTTAATGGGGTCAGACACCGCCCTCCCCCATACCATTTTTACAGTCGCATTTAAAAAGAAGTTACACCATGCATAGGTAAGACACACACGTGTATGTATATATGTATACGTATGTATATCAGAGCCCTGGTGGTGCAGTGGTTAAGAGCTTGGCTGCTAACCAAAAGGGCCGCAGTTTCAATCCACCAGCTGCTGCTTGGAAGCCCAATGGGGCTGTTCCATGAGTCAGAATTGACTAGACAGCAATGAGTTTGGTTTTATATGTATATACGGAGCCCTGGTGGTGCAGTAGTTATAGCTCAGCCGCTAACCAGTAGGCAGTTCAAATCCACCAGCGGCTCCTTGGGAAACCTTACGGGGCAGTTCTACTCTATCCTATAGGGTTGCCATGAATCAGAATCCACCAGACATTAACAGGTTTGGTATACGTATATATATACACACACATGTATTGGTATGTTGTTGTTACGTGTCGTGGGGTGAGTTTCAACTCATAGCGTTCCACACGGTTTCCAAGGAGGGACTGATGGATTCGAACTGCCGACCTTTTGGTTAGCTGCTAAGCTCTTAACCACTGCGTCACCAGGGCTACCTATATTGGAATAATAAAAAAAAAAAAAAA